TTTAAAGGAGCTTCAACATGCTGTTTCTTCAGCAGTGGAGTCTTGCGTGGTGAGCGTGCATACAGGCCATGGTGGTTCAGTGCATTACTTATTGTTTTCTTTGAAACAATCGTACCTGCTAATTCCAGGTCTTTCTGAAGCTCTCCACAAGTGGTCCTTGGCTCTTGGACAACTCTTCTGATAATTATTTTCACTCTGTCAGAAATCTTGTGAGGAGCACCTGGTCGTGGTCGGTTTATGGTGAAATAATGTTCTTTCCACTTCTGAATTATGGCCCCAACAGTGCTCACTGGAACCTTCAGAAGTTTAGACATTCTTCTGTAACCGATGCCATCATTATGCTTTGCAACAATAAGGTTGCGAAGGTCATCAGATGGTTCTTGTGTGATACCTGGCCATCATTTGGGACTGAACCAGCTGATATTAACTTGCACTGACAAGGGATAGGCTTACTTTCTAATTACTGAGAGAGTTCAGCTGGTGTCTTGGCTTTCCATGCCTTTTTACACCTCCCTTTCTTCATCTGTTCAATACTTTTTCCCTGTGCCATTCCACATTATTACAAATAACTTCATTTCTGGACATTTATGGTTTGATTTCTTTGTATGTATGGATCACTTGGGTTGTTACCAACATCTGGTGAAAATTTCTCGTCATTAGCACCTCTAGTAATATATTTACTGAGAAAAATGGTGACGTGTTATTTTACCCACTGTATGTATATATTTAAGAAACAGATAAAAGCTAGTTTGTTGAAGGTATTTGGAAAAGTAAAATGTGAAGCTATATGAATTGTTGTTTGAGTTGATGTTTTAATTTTTATTCAGTATTGTTTTGTAAATAATGTTTTGTTTGAACATATTCTGGGGATAAAAGGGGCAGACATTATGAGATTTAATCTTCTGCTACCTTTCATATTATTTTGATTTGTGTATTTTCTTTGTTTTTTTATTGTATATAGTTATTTTTTAATGAAATAAATAACTTTTTTGAATGAATGAATGAATGACTGACTGAATGAGTGTTTTGATGTGAAGGGATGGATCTGTTTTGTTATGCATKTACTCACAAGAATCTGTTAGTGCTCAGCCTATGAGGATGACTTTCAACACATCAGAGTTTAGGTTATCATTTGTAAAATTCACCTTATAGTTATTTTTGTGTTTTATAAGATCAGTTGGCTGTGGCAGCCATCTTGATTTAAAATTAAAATRTGATAAATACGTACTGGCTAACCTTTGCACAAAAAGTAATGAAATTTGTGTTTGGTAAATTATTTCTTTGTTATCGGTCTTTATTTATTTATTTTACCGTTATTTAACCAGGCAAAACCCGTTGTAATAATAATTCTTGGCAACGTATCTTATACTGTTGAAAACCCTGTGAATTTCCTGTCATCAGATACATTAATTCTGAGCTAATTCTGAACAGAATAGCATTAAAATGGCAAAGTTGTTAGTATTTGTCCCATGAAATACTAAATTCACTTTTGTTTATAGAAAAAAAATTCTCAGCTGTACTGTTATTTCATTGAATTTGTTTTTTTTAATTTTCATCTTTTAAGATCAGACTGCAGAAGTTTGTTTACTGTTGAATAAGAGAATAAATATGACTTTTTCGCTCAGTGTTTTTCCACACAGCTCATTCATCTACATACAGTATAACAATGATTTTACTCATCCTCTATTAACACACATACACACACACGTTAGTTTTTCTATTCTCGTGGGGACTTTGCATAGACTTATGTTCATTTTCCAGTCATTTCTATAGGCTAACCTTAACCTCTTACCCTAAACCTAACCAACCCACCTAACCCTAACCCCCCACTCAAAATCGTTATCCGTACCTGTGGGGATCAGGCTTTGGTCCCCATAAGGAGCACTGGGTTCCCACAAGTATTTATCAGGAAAATGGTCCCCATGACATAGCAAACACGTGTCTACACACACAGTCTAAGAAATTCTATATACACTGAGTGAGAATGTTATTTACCATCAAAGGCACAGATGACTTTGAAATAAGAGCGCAGAAAGTGACGTGATGGATTGATTTCCACAAGGTCGTGCTGTGAAAGAAGACTCCTGAAAGATAACACCCCAGTTGATAAGGCCACAGCCCGAGTACTGGAGTTCTTAAAGGGCTGCAGCGTTACTGCTGCCTGAAGGAAAAAGCTCAAACATAGCTTGTTTGGGTGGTTTGTGGAAGCAACCTCATCTGTTCCTCCAGCAATAACATGATGAGCCAAGACATGAAGAAATAGCAGCGAGCGAGCGAGCGAGCTTCTTCAGCCATGCTGTAATCGTTTTGCTACTGTAGCATGAAGAAGCACAAAATAAGGTGAGGAGAAAGTGACACCCTTCTTTCTCCCTCGCTTCATGTTATCTATGCTTTCTTGTTTTTCTGTTGCCTGATAATTAGGAGCCTATGCTTTGGCGTGGTACAGATTGTCAGCCTGCATTACTTTCAGAGCTGCACAGAGGACGACCAAAGGACTTCCCCTCCACCGCACATCCACCAGGACTTTTTTTTTTGTCTAGCTGCCCCGTCCTTTCAGCGGCATGAATGTGCCGTGTGGCCACAACAACACGACACAATTCCTCCGCTGTCAAGCCCAATTCCATCCGACTGCAGTGAAGCTTTTGTCTCAGCCTCGTGGGTTCGTTTTATGTTTTCTAACTCAGTGTCTGGGTGCTGTGTCGCATCAGCAGATTCAAAATGCCCTAAATCTTCAACAAGTTCATCTAACAGCAGCTCAGAGCTTGCATGCAGTTTTTTTTAAACTGCTGCAAATGCCTTATGCAACTGCTGGTTTATTTATTATGTTGTAACGTAGAAGGGTTTGATGAGGAGGAGGGTGGGGCGTACGGTCAATCGGATTACAAGCAGCTCCCAGAGGTCACCATTCTTTGCTGTGTGCAGTGGCTGAGTGCTTCCCACTGTGCAGCACTTACTTAGACGGAAAATCGATGCGTGTTAGATTATGATGGGGTTGCCAGGACGATGACTGATGAGACCATGGCATTGCACTAAGAGGATTAGGTATTGGTTAACTTTAGCAGTACATTATGTCTCTATATTCAGTTTGGCCCAACAGCCTTTTAAATATTCACATGTTGATCCATAAAACATTTTAGTCGGTTTAATGTAGAATAACCTGAAGCAGAGAAACGTCTTGGCCTGCTTTGCTTCTCTTCCATCACTCCTCCTTTCCCGTCCCATTGCAGGAGTGCAGTGTTTATGCCTCAGCACTGTGGTGTGATGTATTGTTAATGTCTGAGAAAGCAGCAGAAAGGAAGGCGTTTTTAGAGAAGGCGAACGAARGGCTGAGATGTCCTGACTTGTTGGATCTTTCTGTATATCAGTCTGCATCTTCTTAAGTTCTGAGGCTGTTATTTGAACTCTTTCCCTTTTATCCAGCCCAGCAGCTGGACTCGACCTATTTATAGCACATGTAACCACTGCTCTAGAGAAGCAGGGCTGGAGAGCGGTTTGTGGATGTATCAACTCTGATTTGTAAACAGGACGTAGACATGTTGTCATCGTTATTCCAAGCATTTACCTTATTAATATGAAACAAGCATGTTTATTGATGGAGATGGACATGAAGACAACAGATGTGGAAACTTTATTTAACGTTAAATGGGATCTTAATGGGTGCAATCTTCTGGCAACGTAAGACAAAGCATCATTTTTATGTTTTGAATGTAACAAAATAAAAGTTCTATTATCTATACCTGTTTGTTCCTTTCAGGGTCGCGGGGGTCACTGGTGCCCATATCCAGCAGTCAGAGTGCGACGGGAGGGGTACACCCTGGACAGGTCACAAGTCCATCACAGGGCTAAAATAACAAATCTTAAAAAATAATTACTTAAGTACTGTAAATGTGCTTATTTAATAAACACCTCTGGTTCCACAGAGCACACATACAACAAACGAAAAAACACCAGCCTTTATGAATGCACCCAAACTATTCTGCTTGTTTCCAAATAAAATGTGGAAAATATTTAAAATGTTTTTGAAACATTTGTCTTTGTGAAATCTTATAGAACTTATCAAATATTAAAAATTATGAAAGTCCAGCTTTTTAAATTTGCCACCAGCCAATTATAAATCGGTTGAGARACACTGGTTGGAAAAGTAATGCAATTAGGAAACACCTGATTTGTTGCATTATCACAAATGATGTGATTTATGTGCATAAAGACTCATGGCAAGGCTAACATACACACCATAAATGACGAGCAAAATCTCAGAGTATTTACAGTAATGCATGCTGGCATTATCTTTTTCTCAGGGGATATCATGTTTAGCAACTCAAAGCAACAATAAATACAACAGGACAGTTCTGTGGTGTCTTGGCTGAAGTCCAGACCTGTCACCCAGGAGACGAGTCCAAAGAACAAAACAAAAGACCAGCTTAAATCTTTTATAATTAAAAAAATAAAAGCACCGGTTTCCTCAGTGCTCAGATAATCAGTGTTGTGAAGGAGGAGCTGATGCAACACAGCGGTAAACATACTGCTCTACAGCTTCTCTAAAATCTGCTCTGTTTCCATGGATGTTTCATGGCTTTTGTATTATTTGTGATAAATATTGTGATCTATCAGTCACTGCATTCTGTTTTTCCTCTCCTTCAGGTGTTTGGAGAGTTTCTATCTAACGTGTGTGCAGGCTAAAGAGCTTAGATGTGACTAAAGGCGGCTGCTGGTGTGGTTTAGAACAGACTATAGTTGTGTTTTGTGGTTTTAGGGGGGTCTGAACAATCCCTCTTTGTCAGTTATTGGGTACAAGTATGCTCTGTGTCTGCGTCCTCACTGATCTGCACAGTTTGACTCTCACAGTGACACGGTCCCTGTCCCTGGCAGCACAGGCTAAAGTCTAGTTTTGTTTAGCTGGATGTTTTCATTCATCGCTCTGCTCAGAGACTGGCTGGTTTGAGTCGGTTCTGCAATCCAAAGAGCCCTCTCTCTGACTCTCTGTCTGTTTGTTTTTGTAGATGATCCCATGTCTGGCCTGTTTAGGAAGCCCATGAATGACGATGGTGACGTTTACACGTCCCTACTGTCCAATCAGAGCTTCACAGCTGACCGGGAGGCCTCTTACATGTCGGACGACCTGAAGCCTTCCAACCACTCATCTGGCTCCTCTGGCCTGGACCACTTCTCCAGTGACACCTACGACTTCAACTCCAAAAGCAAGATGACTTCCAGCTTGTTGGATGACATGCCGAAACCTCTGCTGGGCTCAGACAAGACAGAATCCTACAACTACATGGATATCAGCCATGGAGAAGAGCTGCGTGACCATCACCAGGGGTCTCCACCCAACGTTTTTGACAAAGGTTCAGCTGAGCACAACTTAGAGGGCAGATACATAGATAATAACCCTGGAAGAGATGATGAGGACGAAGAGGATGAGGATGAGGAAGAAAATCTCGGCCCAGCACTGGGCTCTCACTCTTTCCCCTATGTGGAGGATCCATCTGACGAGGAGCTGACAGATTACCGCTCCTACCGGAACCTGGGCGGGACCCCGCAGACAGCCAGTCCAGTGAAGATCACTCTGACCGAGTCCCAGCTTCCAGGTTCCAAGGCTGAGGCGCAGCAACGTCCTCCTCCGGTCTCTGAGCGGGAGAACGTCCTGAGCGTGGGCCAGCAGGGGGTCCCCACGCTGACACTGTCAGAGCCGGAGGATGACAGCCCCTCTTCCACTCCGAATGATTCACCGACACGTAAGCACAAACTCACACACAAACACCGGCCTCAAGTTTTATTTAAAAAAGGCAGTTTGAATTCAAAACATTTGTTTTAGTCATGGAATTTTATATTTTGATATATTGGGGTAAATGGAAATTTGGAGGAACAAAAGGATTAAATTATCAAAAGAAAAAAAATTAAAAGAGAAAAGTAAGGACACGGATGGGGAAAAATGACAAATGAAACCTAGAGCTTAACATGGACAACACGATGGATTAGTGGTCAATAATGTTGCCTCACAGCAAGAAGGTCTTGGGTTCAATCCCCAGTTCAGTTCAGGGATCTCTCTGTGTGGAGTTTGCATGTTCTCCTTGTGTTTCTGTTGGTTTCCTCCCACAGTCCAAAAATGTACATGTTTGGCTGCTTTCAGACCTCGGCCTCCCTTGTAAAAGAGATTTGTGATTTCAGTGGCATTTGCCTGGTTAAATACAGGTAAATAAATAAATAAATAACATACAGTGAGAGAAACACTGAATATTCAAAGGCAGGTGTGATAAGTAAAATGTGCTGTTAGCAGAAAGCAGCACAAAACATGAGACATGAAAACAAGTGCAAAGGACCTTAAAAGCAAGGTTTTAACAAATTCGACCACAGAGTTCACAAACCACAACTTTGTGGAAACATGGACAAAATAAAATTACAGAATCAGAACAAAACCTAAAGAGACAGCAAATTTTCATAAAGTACTGGCTGTAATTCCATTCTTATCATAATGAATTTATCCCAAAAACTGGTGAATTGGCAGTGAACTTACTGTATATAAACTTAGCACAAAAAGTAAGGAAAATTGTGTTTGGTAGATTATTTATTTGTAACAATGCTTCTTGGCAATATATCTTATACAGTTGGAAAACTTGTTAATTTCTCTTTTAAATGGTGCCACATTTGTAAGGAACATGCCTTTGTGGCATGAGCTGCAGAGCTGAGTATGTGGGTTGTGCACATCAAAAACTGCCAAATCTTCTCTACTGAACCACTTATTCTATTGTTGCTATTGACACTTGTTTTGAGCTTCTGGTACCCCCAGGTGCTGCCAGTCAGGTGCCTACTATATGATTTATTGTCAAGAAGCATTGTTACAACAAAGAAATAATCTAGCAAACACAAATTTCCTTACTTTCTGTGCTAAGTGTGTTTACACTTCTTAGCTGCTGGTTGTATGTAAAGCAACTACTGGCATAAACACAATAGAAAATACTAAAGTCTGCAAAATTACTGAGAATATGTTTTTATGTCTGACAATCCTGCATCAACGTTTAGTCAGGCACATCTGACTGAGYGTTAGCTTCTGTTTAAACTTGTACTTTTAATTTAGACATCAATCATTTCTTTCTTCTTCCCCTGATGAATAGGTAAAGGATTTCCCTCTGAAGAYATGTTCAAGACCGAAGCAGAAAAACCTAAAACCCCCCAAAACAACCAAAGCACGAAGCCTGGCAGCCRGGACCACGACGGCAGCAGCGCAGAGTCCGGAGACTCTGAGATCGAGCTTGTGTCTGAAGAGCCTCCCAAGACCAGTAGCAACCCATTCGCAGAGCCCCCTAAAAGTAAGGTCACTTTCAGCCAGGCTAACAACCCCTTCGACAGCCCCCCAGTTGCCAAGGGTGGTTTTGGCCCCACGGGCGCGCATGCCCCGCCCACGGCCTACAGCATTCTGCGAGAGGAGAGGGAGGCTGAGCTCGACAGTGATCTCATCATCGAGTCTGCATCGGAGGAAAGCCCCAAGAGAGAGCAGGGCCTCAATCAGGGGGTCACCCCTCCCTCCCCTCTGGTTCCCACCACCGTTTCTCCCCGCAGTACTACCGAGGGGGTCCCAGTCCAACCCGTGATTGCCGAAAAGGTCAAGAGCCCGGCAAAAACAGAGGAGGATCGTTCCAGCAAGCCTAAGCCCCCAACTGCTGCTGTGCCTCCGGAGGTGAGATCAGAAAAACCCCACCAGGCTGACATGCACAAACCCACCGACGACGGCAAAGGAGACGCAGGAAAACCTGCCGTGTCAGTTCTTTTGGGGGGCTTCAACAAAGAAAAAGGTTAGTTTTCATTCAACTGCTCTCAAAACGTAAGGATTTTATTTTATTTATGTTGATACTGTAGCGTCAGCTTGGTGTATGCTGCAGCTGCACGCTCATGAAACAAGAAGAGCTGCTGAGGTGTGCTGATGCTCAAAGGTCTTGATTGCATCTAGCTTTGCATTCAGAGCCTGAACCAACATGTCTAGTTGAAAATAAAGATGTTCATCTGAGTGGATGCCTCCAAAGAAGGAGTGGGAGGAAAGTACTGTCTCTTTATTTGCTKCCCTCTGGTGGTAAACTTGAGAAAATGCAGCAGGGGAAAAAAAAGGTTTCACTAAAATTGATGCCTTTACATGATGAATAGAAGTCCAGCTCAGTCTGTAAAAACATAATTAAGAACAGTCCTTTAGCATCTTAACATCATCGTCTTCCTTCATCTCTCTTCACCTTCTTGTGAATAAATACGCTGATGCTTTGGAAGTTGGATTTTCCTCATTGATTTGAGGCATTTTCCCTTTACTAGCTGTATGATTTTTATCTTTTTAAACACTGATCATAAAACCTGGAGCTGAGTCACCCCTTTGCATTTCCTCTATAAATCAGATAATTTCTGCATTGATGATTTTGTTTCTACTTTGTTTAGTGCAGGTTTTAATAAGCAATAGTGATGTACGTGAAATGTACATGGACTTGACATTTCTTTTKTGCATCCTCACTGTTTTGTTTACTCGGACCACAAGAACGTTCTAGAAATAAAACAAAAGCAGGTCACGTGTGCTTCTGTCCTCCGGCACTAGAGGGCGCAGCGCACCTTCATCGCTGCTGCTCCATTAAAGGCCAGCAGATATATTTATGTCATCAGTTGGTGCACCTCCAGACCAGTTACCATGGTAACAGTGATGAGAGTGCATGTTCAGTTGGGTTTTGGATAAATCTGTTTTTTTCCCTTCAACCCTTCGTTCCTGCTGGCTTCAAAGGCRGTCCAGGCWCCAGTAAGCAGAAGGTGTGAGGTGTGGCTGTCTGCAGGGGAGGGTGTGTGTGTGTGTGTGTGCGTGTGTGGGGGGTCCTGAAGATGAGATCAAAACAATGACCCAAACTATTCTGCTCACATAGCAGTGACTGAACTTACTGTTGTGTTTCTAAGCATCCTGCCTATTTTTTTTTTTTTTTTTTTTAACAATTGGCAGAAGTGCAATTTCTTCATAAGTTTTCCTATTTACAGCAATAAACTGTTTTTTTTTTTTTTTTTTTGGCTTCATGTTTGGAAATCAAGCACAAACACAGCCTGAAGGTGCTGAACAAGAAGCATTTAGCTGTAAACTTTGGAGCTCCTGAACATGAATTATTAAAAACAAGCACTTTGCATTTTCAATCACCACTGAGTCATACAGGAAAAAAATCCATATTTATCTCTAACTACACCCTTCAAGACTCTAGTGTCTAAATAAGAACCAGAACTGGATGTTTGCCATCATTTTTCTTTGCATTATGGTATCAAGCGAGGCTATATTTAGCTTTTATGACACATACTGCACGTGACATCAGACTATAAAATGTATTCTGGGGTTCCAGAGCATTTATGCTGTTTATAATAATATCATCCTAATAACAAGGAGAATGAATATGCATCATGGTGTTTCAACAAACTAGATGTTAGATCACCCCCCCACCCCCACAGTTTATACTCCCATTGTTACCAGTCTGGGGCTTTGTTAGGGCTTTTATTGTGAAACCTTTCCCTCTAAGACAAAAGCCTCCGAACATCACCACCCACCCGCTTATCCCCCCCGAGGCTGGAAATCATCGCACGGCTGGTTTGCTGCAGCAGAAACTGTGGTGTGGTGTTTACAGTTAGCCCCTCCACTCTTCCCTCCCCCAGCATGCAGAAACACACGTACGCACTTTAGTCCTCGCTCCCTCCGTTCGAGCTGCTCCACAGCATCAGTCTTTGTGCTCCTGCGAGCCGGCAGCACCTTGGAAACCTCCTAAACCCGCCCTCGTCGCCTCCCCTCCCCGTTGCCTCAGCATCTCTCCCATCTCATCCCCCGTCTTTCCACCATTCATGCTTCTCTGGGACGAGTGACTGAGAGTCGGCTCCACCGAAGAGAGACGCAAAGAAGAACAACGGAGACCGCAAAGAGACGCAGAGCGTGAGAAGGGGGATTTAACCGCTCGCCAGCATGCAGGCCGCTGCAGATGTGACGAAGAAGGAGTGCTCCTGGAGCAACTGGAAGGGCCAGGGTACTGATGTATTCGCTGTCGTTTCCTCTGTCTGTGTGTTTCTGTGGCTCTGAGTGGTGGACTGCTGTTCTTGCATGCAGCTTAAATGTTCCAAAAACCCTGCAGGAGTCTGGAGTGTGTGATCGTGTTTTAACGTGTGTGCACATTCGTCATCTAACAGTGAGTGCTGAAGAACAACCATGCAGTTTCACACGGGCACGCCCTTTGACAGAATCATTTTTGCTCAATGTGTGAGCATCGTAAAAAACAGAAAAAAAGAGAGAGAGAGGTGGATGAGAGATGATAATGATGTGTGTTGGAGCATAAATGTGCACATCAACATGCTGGGCTCCATCTGGTTTGGGTCCATTTTAATATGGATGCCATTGTTATTGATCAAGGCGTGCTTCAGTTTACACCCTCCCCACTGGTAGCTGGTTTTTCATGGCACATGCGCTCCATTTTTTTTGTTAAACAAGGCAGTCTGAGCATCCCGATGGAGCTGACAGACTGTTTCTATGGTAACGAGGACACACCCATTACGATTACATCAACCCCATCTCCTTGGCCTCCATGGCAGCTTGCAGAAACCGGGCAGGAGACGAGCATCCGTGCGTCTTGTTTTTGTCACACTGATGTCTCACAGCAGGGGCTGAGAGAGAAAATGGCGCCACTCCATGCCCACTGTGTGRTTCCTCAGCTGCTTTCGTTTTCAGCAGGAGCACAGAACGACGTGTCTGATTGTGGTTACACAGCTCACATCTGAATACAACAAGCCGTTCTGTCATTTTGTTTCCGAGTCCATTTAATAAATGAACGTCTCGTAACATGATCTCTGATCCATCTGTCCGCAGCTCTCAAAAAGCATCAGAATAAACTGACTGCCAACAGAACAGCAGAAGGAAATGTTCTGATTTACTTTCTGCTCTTGAGTGATTATATATCATCCTGAAGCTGGAGGCGTTTTGTTTAGTCATCTTTGTTGCAGAGCACAGTCACTGCCAAACTGCTTTGGCCCGATCGAACTATGATGCAGACTTACACAAAATTGAATCACTACAAGTGACTTATGTAAAAAGAATAACCTTCTGTGACTCAATGTGACAATCATTCAATGTGTTTAAGAACTTATCAAAAGTATGGTAGAAATGTACTTGTGCATAAGTATTACCTATTAACTTGTCCTTATCTTTAGTATTGTGTAAAATTTTAATGTGAACTGATGTTATGACAGTGTCACTTCTATCTAAACATCAAGTTCCTAATAAACCAAATAAATCAATAATCAGGGATATAAAGAAAGGTAAAATATACATCTAACTTAGTGCTGCTGGTATAATTAATCCAAATATAAATACACAATGTAAAATCAGCTTGTATAGACAAAACAGATAGCAGGGTTAAAAATTTTATTTTAACTGTTTTTTCTGTTTTTTCCCAGTTCTGTAGTTTCAGCTTGCACCATCATTAAGTGAACAACAAATACCATCTTTCAGTGAAAAATATCCAAACTATCCTTTTATAGTTTGAAAAGTCTGGATGTGTTTTCTCACAGGCTGGGTGACGGCCCGTTTGAGGCCACAAGGATGTTTTTGGTGGTTTAATTAGGTCAGGCTAAACTAGTTTCACTACAGAAAAAGAAAGTGGGGTGGGTATTATCAATAGTGGAAATCTTTTCCTCTGGTTTCTGTTGAGTGTAGGTGAACACTGAGCAGCAAACACCCCTGATTTTGTGGTTTAATTTACAAGTCCGTGTTTAGTACAGTGTCAGGTTTTTATGTTCAGTTTAATGCCAGTTCATCTTCTGTGATGTCATCATTTGATTTATTTATCTCGACTTGTTTAATATTAACAAACACGGAAGCGAAAGGTGAAATCWTTAGCTGCGGTTGTTGTTTTAGGTTTCCGTCTACTTTCAGTGATGATGTCATCACGTTTTCAGGCAGGCGGTTTGGTGTTAATGGGTTCGTCTGATCGCGACGCCAAGGTCTGGAACAACCGACCCCTCCCTTTTCAAAGCAATTCTTCAAACCAGGTGTCAGTCAGTCACACGTTTCATTAACTTGATGTGTTCCACCTCGCCGGCCTGGTGTTTAAACACACATCGTCTTCCCGCTCCACAGGAAAAGGAAGTTGCCGTCTTTTTTTGTGGTGTTTTGGTTTGTGGACAAACGATGCTGAATCCCCAGYTTCAGAGCAAATGAGTCTCTCTGTTCCCAAAGGGAGCGCTCACTTTGCCCTCCCTCCCTCATAAGCCCCTCCCTCTCTCGGCGATCGGAGGAGAGAAAATGGAACACGGTTACTATGGTAACTGCATCAGGCAGATGCTCGGCAGATGCTGACCACCAGGGCGTTTGAGCGGAGCTAGAGTCGGTCTATGTTATTATCATGTGACGTACAGCTTTTGTGTTTATTTCATGCTGGGAGTCAGTGAGTCTAACAGATCTGACAAAGGCTGTTTGTGTGCTGGGTTGCATTGTGGCTCTTTGGCAGTCACACCCTATCCACGTCCCCCCCCCACCCCTCCGCTCAGACGAGTGTTGATTTGCTGGCTGCGCTGTGGCCCCTCCCCTCCCACGCAGGAGGGTGTGTGTGTGTGTGCTCCCCCTCCAGTGCTCTCCTTTTGTCCGTAGATAAAGCAGCTGCCTCTCTTCCCTGTTCAGCCATGGGAGCCGCAGGTCAGTACACACTTCTACTGCGAACTAAAGGCTTTTCAATCTGCTTTCAGTCCGTGCAGCACATCACGAGCCGCTGCCGCCTGTCAACATGTCTCCCCAGGAGAAAATGTCTGCTGTTGTTGATGTGTGTGTGTGTGTGTGTGTGTTGATACAGCTGCTGTTTAAGCTTCCTTTGACTTGTGCATGAGAGAGCATCTTCATGCATATCCTTCTCCACATGGAGATGATGTTGGGGATAACAGCAGTCGCCTCACTAAAGAGGGGAGCAGCAGTGGGACACGGATGCTGCAGAGTTTCTAATTTGATTCTGATTAGGTGGATGGACAGGTTGGCTGTAACTCACTGCCAATGAGCTGTTTAATCGTGTGCGGCTATTTTGTGTGTGGCGAGCAGACATTAAGTTCGACATAGAGGGTTCTTTCACCATTCAGCACCCAGTCTGCYTTTTAGGCATCCACAAATGCCTTTTTAGTGGAGAGTAAAGATGGCCGTCATCACTATGCTGCTCACAGCTCTAAGGCTAAAATTAGAGCGGACAAGCAGGCAGCCTAGAGAAGAGCAAGACACCCGAGAGACTCCAGCAGCGATCTCCTGTTCATAACCGACACAAAACTTTACAATAAAGCCGCCAAGAAAACTCCAGTTGTTCGGTCAGACTTGCAGGAGGGGGTTCAGCAGAGGTGAAACCAGCAGCAGACACTTCTCATGGAAACAGGCCCAAGTTTTCAGACGACTGCCAGARGAAGACCATGTCGGCTGCAGAGGCTGAAACGGTACACTGAACTAATCCTCGGTTATCACTTCGCTTTTGGCTCTGCGAGTGGCTTTAAATTACAGGCTCCACCGCCTAAAGATGGTGGTGGAAAATCTGTGCAGAAAGCCGTACTATGTGCCTGCACGTCAGTGTGTTCCTCACATCTCCTAAACTATACAAATGTTCAGGGTTTGAGGCGTTTCACTGCACCGATGAAGACTAATGCATCGTCATCCTTCATCACCGGCCACTGCAGCCGATCTGGCCAGGTCACATTGAACTCTTATCAGCAAACTGCTGATAGTGCTGCTGTTTCAGCTACTGCTTTCGTACGAGCTCTGRTTTAATCATTAATTCTGTCCTGAGAGCAGGTGGTTCCGGTACCTTTAAAGTACTGTTTGCATGTACGCCTCTATGTGTGAGACTAAACCAGGTGTTTCTGAAATCCCCCAACGGCCACACAATCCACCCCACACACACCTGCACCTACATATTTCAGTTTTATTTATAAGTCAAGTTTGAGCCAGCTATTATCTGTAGAGGTCATGCTATTTTTAGGAGTAGAGAAACTGAATGAACCACAACCCAATGTTTCTTTCTTTTTTTTTTGGCTCACTCGAAGCTAATGAAAAGCTGGGTTAAAGGATCCCGTGACAGCCGCAGCTCCCTGAGGATGCTGGGCTGTCGAGCGCTTCCAGTTATTTGACCCAAATGTGTGATTCGACATGAGCGTAAGGACTTTGTAAAGCAGGAGCTCAGGTAATATTAGTGATAAAACGTATTTTTCTGTTTGTTTTTAGCGATTGACCTCCTGTATTGGAGGAATGTGAAGCAGTCAGGCGCCGTGTTCAGCAGTGTGCTCCTGCTCCTTTTCTCCCTGACCCAGTTCAGCGTGGTCAGTGTCGGGGCCTACTTAGCCCTGGCGGCCCTCTCTGCCACCATCAGCTTCAGGATCTACAAGTCTGTGCTGCAGGCCGTGCAGAAGACCGACGAGGGGCACCCGTTCAAGTAAGAGGAACGAGTTTGGCGAATGTTGTGAATTGWTTTTAAATGTTTGACTGATCCGTTTCCCCCTCGTTTTCCTCTGTTACCAGGGCTTACCTGGAGATTGAAATTGCTCTGTCTCAGGACCAAATTAGTAAATACGCTGACAAAATCCTGCTGTACACCAACACCTGCATGAAGGAGCTCCGCCGGCTGTTTCTCGTACAAGATTTGGTCGACTCTTTGAAGGTTTGACTCGTACTCAAACACCACCACTGCTGGCCGTTTTTCTTGCTGCTGGAAATGTTTTAACCTACATCGTGTTTCAGTTTGCAGTTCTGATGTGGCTGCTGACCTACGTAGGTGCTCTCTTTAATGGCCTGACACTGCTCATCCTAGGTGAGGTCATTTTAACCATGCAGTGTCCGATGACTCATATGTTCCAACTTTCACTTATTTAGAACAACTCATGCTTTACAACCTAATTTATCTGATACTCTATGTTGCTCCGCAGCTGTGGTCTCCATGTTCACCTTGCCTGTGGTCTATGAGAAGCATCAGGTAGGACTGTGAGCTCCTTAACTCAGCCTGACCTCCACTCAGAAAACCTCTGTGGTATTCATCAAATTTTCTCGTTTTTAGGCACAAATTGATCAGTATGTGGGATTAATACGGACCCAGGTCAACTCTGTGGTGGGGAAGTAAGTGTCTGCAGTTTGTTCAGATTGTTGAAATGTTTTCCCGTGTGTCACCATCACCAAACTCATTTCAATAGTCAAAACTAATTGTAAAGATTTTACACAGTTTGAAGACTAAACCAGCTGCTTGGTGATGCGTTTTGGTTTAACTCCTAATTTGTCATCTTTACCAACCGAAATGAACCAGTTTGCCAATTTTAGCCATTTTGTTTAATGACCTGTTTGAAACAGATTCAACACAGCAAGCTTTGTTTGCCCTTGAAATGAGCTACCTTTTTTTTAAAACCATCCATCAAAGTTGTTTCTCTGGTTTCAGGATCCAGGCAAAGATCCCCGGCGCCAAAAGGAAGGAGGAGTAAATCTGTTCTCGTCACTGCAAAAGCGGACGGTCCGGTCCAGCTCAGTCGGGCTCACCGCGTGGGAGGGTGGGGCGTAGTGCTGTGTCATCTCGGTGTTCTCTAAAAGCATCCACTGGAGAAGCCTTCACCCTGTCTATAACAGTTCAAAACACTAACTCACTGTCACACGTGAATAATCCTGCTTCTAGGTAGACGAGTACACTCAAAAATCAAAGGTGAAAAAACAAAAAAAAAATAACGAAACTGACTTTTTTTTTTTGTGTTGCTTATTATGAAGTGCATGAAGTTGAGCCTTGGGTAAATAATATTTCATCATCTTTTGTGCAGTTTTTAAAAATCACGCTTYATTTTATCGCTTTTGCAGTGCTTGCCACAAATTGTACGGTTTAGCACAAAAAGGCTGAATGTCCATAGATGTGCTCTGCTGCCAGTGTTAAATACTACTTTGTTTCAGTAAAAAAAGAAAAAGAAAAAGGTTTTCCTTTTGGTGTTTTCAAGCACAAAATAACTTAAGATATGCGTCTTAAATGTGGTAACTGTAGGGTTTTTGCTTTTGTATAACTATAAGGAACAATACACATGCTCACATTTAGGTACTGTTGTACAACTACGATGAAGACAAGAAGTATCTGGTGATATTTAGCTTGTTTGAATAACTGTCCAACTTTGTACTATGTTAAACTATACTCTGTAGTTTGTTAGACCCTGGACTCCAACTATTTGCACTTACGGTATGTATTTAATTACAAGAATAAGAAAAATAAATGTTCCTTGGTGTAACATCTGCTCGGCCATCTCTCTGAGTTCACTTGCTCWGCATGATCTGAAATAGCTGAAGATGAGTTTCTGTGTGACACAACAGCTAACTTTGTCGAGATAAGAGGGAGAGACTAGAATGGTGAGTTATAAATATAAGGCATTTGAGTTTTGGCACTGACAGCATAGAGTTCAGTCTGTGGCAGCGCGGCTGCTGCGTTGACATATTTAGCTTGACTCTGGGGTCACAAAGAACCTACGTTTAAAGACTGACAAGCCTCATCTGTTGCAGACAAACTTTTTAATGGTCTGCAGCTGAAACACTTACAAAAGTGATGTCACCATGAACTGAAACAAACTTAAATAGCCACAAAGTTAAAGTTGGAATCTCCAACAACAAAAAGGCAGGACTTCACTGAGCTACTGAATGTTACAGTCTTATTTAAACATAAAATAAAATACACACTTTCCAGTTTTTCAAATTAAAACTCTGAGCAACTGCTCCTGTTACAACACTGGAACTAGCTCCATTTCCCATGGAGATTCTTACAGGAGTAGAGTGTCTTCTTAGTTGAGGAGAATGACGGGATGAAGCTGGAAGAGAACACCTCTTGTGTTTCCACCTCCAGGTTCTGCAATGCTCATCTTCAGAGAAGGATCAACCTGAAGGTCCAAAACATTTTAAGACATTAGTTATAATGTACAGACTAGAGGATTTTGTGAAAATCCTGCAAATGTATTTTAAAAAAAGCATACTTGGTTCCATTTTCCTGGCTTCTCATAGTACAGTGGAGGGACAGCTTCTCTTGGAGGAGACCTCATGAAGAGTCTGCAAAACAAGATGTATTAATTGTATATCACCTAGGTTTTTTTCCCTCCTTCCTGTGGTTGTGTGTGCGACCTGGTAAGGCGGTCCCGACAGTCCTCCTGCTGTTGATTGATCTTATCAGACCCCAGATGCAGCGTGCTGCTAGGACCGTTGCACAGCAGGCGGTTAATGGCCACTCGCAAAGCATTTATCTGAAAGGACAAAAAACAGTTTTATTTAAAAAAAAAACAACAACAACACAAACATGTTAAACTGAAGCATTTAAACAGGGTATATGCAACTTTAAGCAAGTAAAATTTAAGACAGACATTTTCAATACTGCCTTAAATGAAATTTTAGACTAAAAGACAATAAATATGGTTGAGGGATTCCGCTGTATTACAACCAAGCATTGCATGTGTGTCACACAATAAAACACTAGGCCTGTCGCGATAGACAATAAATCAATTAATTGCACGATAACTTTTTTTGAGGTCGGTAAAAAAAAGACGGCGATA